GGAAATCTCACCATTGTGGGAGGGGCAGAGACACAAACTACTGGAGGAGATCTCACCATTGTGGGAGGGGCAGAGACACAGACTACTGGAGGAAATCTCACCATTGTGGGAGGGGCAGAGACACAAACTACTGGAGGAAATCTCACCATTGTGGGAGGGGCAGAGACACAGACTACTGGAGGAAATCTCACCATTGTGGGAGGGGCAGAGACACAGACATTAAATATATTTTCCTCAGAGGTAGGTGGGGACAGTAGGGAGCGCTCTCTCACCCAGTAATACTGGAATACAGTGACCATAGGGCACATGGGTGGGGGGGGTATGCACTGTATATGGGAGAGATGGGCAGGCATGCCGTGGGAACACAGTCAGATGAGTGGGTGGGGGGTGGGGCGCCACGAACACTTGTCAGCTGACCTGGTAGGCGGGACAGGTCGGCTGATGCCGCTTTAATTTGGCCATTGTGTAATTTCGGATATCGGCCAGCTCGGCCTGGTGTCTCCTTAATCGAGTGAGGAATAAAGTTATCTCTTCGGGCTGCAGGCATTCAGAACACTCAGCGGCCACACACCCGGGCCCCGCCCCCAACTCCGCCTCCCCGGGGCCGCTGCGGAGGGACTCGGGTCTCTCTAAGACCTCAGAAAAGGTTTCGGTTACAGAGAACAAGCGACAGGAATTTGAAGGAACATTTTTTACAGAAACTACAAAATGCCAAAATAAGATGATGAGGAAAAGCTCTTACCGACTGGCCATGTAAACTGGGGGCACTTACAGTGTGTGTCATATATCCCATGGACGGCATGGAGCGGCGATCCACCTGGGCTGAAGACTGCAGGGGGAGAGGAGGGCAGAGTAAGACACGCCTAGTGGGCGGAGCTGAGAACTGCAATCCCAGACCAAACACCTCCATAGAGGGGGTCAGAGATGGCGGCCAACCAAACGTCTGCTCTGAAGACCTCCAACAATGAGACTCCATTGTGTGCGTACAGCGTGACACGGCCCCCGGACACTATGGGATCCCGGGGACCGGGAGGCTGCATGGAGTGTATCCGGACCGGACTGCTACTCACAATGTTTCATCACTTACAGTCCCTACTCCCCCTCTGCACAGTCCCTACTCCCCCTCTGCACAGTCCCTACTCCCCCTCTGCACAGTCCCTACTCCCCCTCTGCACAGTCCCTACTCCCCCTCTGCCCAGTCCCTACTCCCCCTCTGCACAGTCCCTACTCCCCCTCTGCACAGTCCCTACTCCCCCTCTGCACAGTCCCTACTCCCCCTCTGCACAGTCCCTACTCCCCCTCTGCACAGTCCCTACTCCCCCTCTGCACAGTCCCTACTCCCCCTCTGCACAGTCCCTACTCCCCCTCTGCACAGTCCCTACTCCCCCTCTGCACAGTCCCTACTCCCCCTCTGCACAGTCCCTACTCCCCCTCTGCACAGTCCCTACTCCCCCATCTTCTGTGGTGATCCAGCAAAGGGTCCGTCCATCGCTCCCTCCTCGGGCCGCACGGACCGCCTGTCCGCGGGGGTGTTGGATCTTCTGGGGGGGAACATTTTGGGTGGTCCGGGGGGCGGTTGGAAGTCAGAGGGAGACGGGGGGACGGAGAAGCAGCGC